ATGACCTTGGATAGTTGTTTATTAATAATATATTTTTTATTTTTTCAAGATTTTTTGTTCTATACTCCCAATGTGACAATTTAATGGCTCTATCTTTAAGTTCCGTTATAATCTTATTATATAACCTTATTTTTAATGGAACACCCTACATTTTTGAATTCTAGGTCGTATTTTTGAGTCATTTTGTTAAATGAACTGGGTACGAAATTTCAACCGTTGTAGAATAATATCCATTTTTCCAAAAAAATTGGAAGGTGCAGGCTTGGAAATAATTCGTTGTTCCGCCTATTTAGGTTAATCAATTGTAATGTAACTTTAGCTTGTTGTAGCAAAAAATAAGTTTTGCATCTCTTATAAAAAAGAAGTTATGGAAAATTAAACTTGACTGTCAAAAATTACCCAAAAAATTCAAATGGAAACCCCTATTTTTTTCTATTCAGATCGATTTAGTGACAAAAATGAAGGCAGGTTTATAAAAAGGTTTATGAGGTTTCATAAATTAAATTTTTCGTAATATCGGCAAATCGCTCAGATGGATTTTAATGTACCTTGCTGTGATTTTTTTCTATGTCGGCCATATTTTGCTAAACCTATTCTTATTTTCGTGAGATTTCTGATGAACGCAAGTCGCATTTAACGCAACGAACGCAGTTAAAAATTATATATCATGGACCTAATTTCAAATTTGCAGTTAGAGTTGTTACTGTTAAAATTATTAAATAGCAAGCAAGCAAACATAAAGCATTTTTTGCCCAAAAGCTATGAATGACACAAAATTTGACAAGGAGCAAAAAAATGTTCAAAAAGTTTTGATACATAAACTCAAAAAATAAGTTGATTTTTATTTGGTAGCTGGACCAAATAAAAAGTTCTGGTAGTTTTTGTACCAAGTCGCTCAAGAATTTCTCACTTGCTCAAAGCGGGTGAACTCGGTTGCTTCATCATCACGAGTCTTATATAAGAACAAATTCACAGCGAGATTCACTAAAATCTATCATATTATATCACTCTTCCGATATTTTAACAAACATTTTTTTAAAGAAATTTTGCCATCAATAGCAGAGGAGCCGAACACTTTTTCTTAATGAAAGTTAGGTCATATGGCTTTGATTTGACCATGTGCGTACGGGACACCCTGTATATAGCCTAGATTTTTTCAGGTGTTTCCTTATAACAACAGTAACAAATCAAAGTAGCGTTGAATATGACAAACAAACCAAAAACAAGGGGAAAATAACGGTATTCACTGTGACTGACTGACTGTGTGGAATTGTTATTATATTCTTTTCCTTCCTGGGTTTCAGTTAAAGTGTGAAATCATTTTTTATATTGTTTATTTCATAACGTTTCGGCGAGACAATAGTGCCATCATCAGATTGAAAATTCATATAGCACGAACCCCGCACTTATCTGACGAGAGCTAATAGGCTCGAAACCGGTCCTTGCTGACCTGAGCCTGAGGTTGGCGAAAGTAGAGATTTGCAATATCTGACATCATTTCTGATTCGATTAGTAATTGCCCTCTAAATTCATGTATTTATTATTTGCAAAACTCCAGGCAAAGGAATCAAGAGGCGCCTATTAGATGGTCATCGCATAAGATCATCTCGACCAATCCTGACATTAAAAATTTAATTTAAAAAAATTGCCACTGCGCGTAAGTAGTCGGGTGATTGAGATATTTATTTATTTATTTTCATTAACAAATATTTTTCCATTTTTCTTCTAATAATTTGTCGTTCGCAAAATCGTTTTTCTACTTTCTTATACTTATGTGTTTTGAGATGGAACACGTCTCTCGGGATACCGCGCATTATTTTCTTACCTCGCCGTAGATGCATTTTCTTTGTTTTGGTAGAATAAACGCAGAGTATAGAATTTTTCATTGCATGAATAATGCAAAAGTTGTTTAAATTGTAATGAGTGCGAGGCAATAAAACAAACAGCTATTTCTGGGATCAGGCAGACAATCCTTTCGATCTGTCTATAAATATATCTAGGGTTTTCCATTTTAAAAAAATTATCAACGAAAATAATTAATTGTTTTTCGCTCCCCTTTTGCTACTTTTCACAATAATCTATTGTGGAAGTTATTATAATTTTTCTTATATCTTAAATAAACCTTTCTAGAGTGAAAAACAAAATATGTTTAAATTACTTGTCTTGTAGAAGGTATTTTGGAATGAAGTTTTGTTACTTTGATGGGAATTTTAATGCTAATTGCTACATTCTCTATAAATACATATGAGAATCAAGTACCTAATCTACAACTAAACTTTTAAAAGTAGTAGAGAAAAAAGGTTTAAATTTGTGTATTTTTATTTACTTTTTTCATTCTACTGTTTTTCAAAACTTGATAATAATCCTAGATTCTTCACCTCAAACTCTCAAATCCATGCATTAAAACAGTTTCCAAAAGTTGCTTAAAACTACCATTAACTTTCAAATGGCTCAAAATAAAATGTAAAACTTGAACAAAAAAAGCAGATCTAAAGCTTGTTATTGGAAAGTCTTGCTCCATATGTAGGCTGTTTAATTAAATTAAATCATGTCAAAATTTATATCTTTTCAGTTTAGGAATTCAAATCGAAGTTACATTGCCACAAAGCATATGAGTTTGTTGATTGTTGAACGATACAAGTAAAATTTAGATTCACGCGATTATTTCCTTGATAAATTGGTGCTTGTTTCATTAAATCTTAACGAAGCTAATGGGGAAACGCTCAAACCTATAGATACAATCATGAAACATGTTTTGAAGCAAAGCCAAAACGGACAAACAGAACTACCAGAAAGAGGGTTTTAATTATAAATCTTGAAAACAGTAACACGTTTTAAGGAAAAAAGCCTCACAAAATCGAGTCATTTGCGATACACTTTAAGCAAACAAGATATGTACATTTTTCTAATTGATTAAAAAAATAGTCTACGGGTATTAAAAATTCCAAACAGTTTTACCTATTTTTCTCTGAATGAAAATTGTTTCAGGTTTCGGTTGTTTGTAGTATTTTTTAATTTTTTCGGTGGTTTGTTGTATTTTTGCAATTGCAAAGATTTTGCAAATTGAAAAGTTTCTGATAATCGCTGCAAAGCTAGATACCCTTGGAACATTCTTTCAGCCTTCATTGCCCACAAAGTTTCATTAACTTTTTTCAAACCGTTTTGCATAAATTTATAATTTTGAATTTTTCAAAGTAAAGTTTGACGCTCTATAATTCGAAAATGAAGCTCTTGCCGACCTGTTTTGCTTAATTTTTTTCCTTTCATTCCTCAAAAGCTTTAAACCTTTTTTAATTTCTTCTCTCGTGTGGAAAATCTACAAGCTTTCTTTTTAGGTAAACCTCGATTAACTAATCCATAAAAGTTGGGATTTATTAAAATCAAATACAAGTTTATTGTAAACTAAGCAGCATGCAATTTTTTTCGGTATATACAAATAGACGTTGCACTCGTAAAGTCAGCTAAAAGTTTTGTTTTGATATTTTATCACTAATTGCTGTTAAAATTCAACAATGTAACCAAAACGTTCGTCTTTTAGTGGCTTTCAAACGCTTATAACTCGATAATGCTTTTAGCGGATGTGCTTGCTGTGACTATAACATCCTATATATTTTTTGGAATTATTTAATAGAGAGGATTGTTATCTGCACAAAAGCAGAACATTCCGGGGCTCGTTTTTTCTATGTATACAGCTTTTGAATCACTAGTTTTGTGACGTCTTATATGTATATTTATATCACATTTTGGTGTTGTGTTTGGTATTTGGTTTGTATTTATAGACAGTTTTATATGCATAGCAGAGATATTAGATCAAGGCAAAAATTAATGCAAAATTATAATTTATTGTCACCGTAATTTATATAACAAAAATATATACATTAAACTAGCGAAATATAGCCTTATACTTTTAATGATATAGTGCAATATGTAAATGTGCGAATATGTGTATAAATAAGTTGCATCTCACACAGTCTTTAAAATTAGCATCTCAACGACCATCATTAAGCATTCCTTAAAAGTGTGATTGATTGATGATTTTACAATTAACTACCCATTACAAAGTGTATCTACAAAAACGGATAAACCTTTATACTAGCAAAATGCTCAAAAATAAAAATTAAGAAATTGATATAATATTCAATAAATCTTCTCTTGAGGTTAAAATTGCATTCACAAAAATTATGGCACTAAGTACTGGTACTAAGAGCGGATCAATATTTTAATGCGTTAAATCTATCTGTAATGGGTTTGTCAATAATTTGCAAATACCCATTTAGTAAGGTCCACTTTGTCCCGGAGGTCCGTAGTTGGAGCTTGGTCGTCCGACTGAACTTCCAGTATTCACCGGAAACGACAATCCATTGGATGAAGTTGATAAGTTTATATTGGAAACTCCATTTACCGATCCACCTGGAAAACGTAATGGAAAAGATCATTATTAAGTGCTACAATAAAATAATTCAATAGAACTTACTTCCACTGATATGAACTCCGCCAGTGCTGCCGGAAGTGGTTCCAGTAACTGCGGACTTCGCCTTGTATCTGATGAAATAAACTTCCGGTTTGCTGGGTGCAGTTGGGGCTGCTGTAGGCAATGAAATGTCCGCAACATCGTCGGGTTTTTTCACCAAAACGTAAACCAAAGTTTTTTCTTCGTTTCTGGCCTAAGGAAGAAATAACATGAGGATTGACTTTTGATTCTCGATTTTCTACAGTAAATGGGAAATAGTATGTTTGCTGCTACACTATAATGCGCGGAAGATGGTTGACTACCCATCTTTTTTTCAGTTTTTAATATTTTTTGTACTTTGGGCACAATATGGTCAGTCAGGCAGATACTTCGCCCCCGGTGGTACTAATTTTTCCACTAAATTTTCTTAAGGTTGATTAATTGAAGACTCCTATTTATCCTTTCTAGCTGCGGTATTGTTAGAAAGGCTTAAGTTAGGGAACGTTTTAACTTTTCAGCTTGAAAACGTTGCTACTTGAAACCATTAAAGACGATTTTTAAACTATTTTTGTTTGTAACCAATTGCAATTTCTTATAGCGCAGCACTAATTTCAAGCATCAACTCAGTTTCAAGAATTTGATTAATGGTATACTTTCTATGTGCAATATTGAAACTCAGAAACTCTTGAAAACCTTCCCACGAAAAACTGTGAACTGTGATGGAAGAAACTTTTTTTCTTGCCCAACCAAGTATTCTTCCTTTTTTTCAAAGACTAAATGCTTTAGTTAGTTTTAAATATAAGATTTGGATTGAAATAAATTTAGGTGCCTGGATGAACACGGCTTCAGCATTAAATAATAAAAAAGAAAGAGATTTTCGGGCATTTTTGCATATTCAGATATTAAAACATTGAGGAATTTTATTTTAAATATCGTAGGTGATAAGTCAAAAAAATATGGACAATTTCGACTAATTCAGATCGATTTTGAACGGATTCCGAGAAAATTAGTAGTATAATTTTCCGAAGACTTTTTCCATTCACTTTTCTTAGTCGTCGTTACAACAGTACTAAGATGACGTACATTTTTCAACAAGTCTCACTTCTTACTAAACAACTTTAACATAAAAAAAATTAACAATTTTTAAAATACGCATGATTTTTTGTGTCGAACAAAGAACAAAGAGTAGAAAATAAAATTTTACATCATTTTTTTTTTAATAATATGTATATTAGTATAAAGTAGATATATATTTTCTACTCTTTGATTCTTGTTAAACAATACTTTTGCGAATAAGTCGATTGGCCGAAATGTGCCAGTTGCTTTGCCACGAAAATCACCACACTTAAAGCCTTACGATTTTATAAAAAGTTTTGATTACCTTTTGATTATATTTTATTATCTACTGGTCATTAAGAAACAGTGGTTGCATCAAGCAGAACGTTCTGCTAAATTAATGTTGACAATATTGAACACATTATTTAAGTTAGACAAACCGTAGGTACACTTACTTTGCGAAAATGTAATGTAATTTTGGCATTTTATACTCCCTGTTTCACCTTTAATATACTTATGTTCTTATGTGTTTCCTTTATATTTTTGTGTTATGTATGAGTGTAATTTACCTGCGCTTGCAGAATTTGCTGTTGTTGTTGTTCGTAGGATGGAGCTTTGATGAAAATAATTTTATAGTGTTTGGTGGACTGGCCAGCAGCAATTGGTCTCTGAGGCCTCAATTCTTCTGGCTCTGGAGGAGCTACATGTACGTAGATGTGCTTCTGCACTAAAGTTCCTCCAGAACTCACGCCAATAGATCCCCCAGTACTTCCCACCAAACCTCCGGCATCAACAATGGACGATACTTGACCACTTTGTACTAATAGATGAAGCAATTAAATTAGTATCGAACATACATAAATTAATTCGTAGTTAAATACACTTTATATCTTGCTATTGATTAAATACAGAAATAGTGGTAATGCCACTATACTTTATATTATTCGTATCAATATAATATATATTGTTTAAAATTTTGTAATAAATAACTTTTTTTATAGCTAGATCTTAAGAAAACAATCCAGATTATGTTATTTATTCGGAATTACTAAATGTTTCTAATTGATATCAATAGTTTTTCCACATTTCGTAAAAAATAATTATTGCGTTATGAGATTTTTTTTTGCTTATTCGAACTAATAAGTGAAAATGTAAACTCTGTTCAATGCCAGCGCTACCAGCAAACTTTGCGTATTATAAAATAAATTCATAGTGTTTTCAAAAAGTATCCTATACTACGTTGTTTCCACTTTTAGAAAAATGGTGTCCCTTTTTTTCTTAATTTCTATACCTGCTGAACTTCCTCCAAAAACTCCAGAACCACCTGATACAAAACCACCATTATTTGATCCAAAAGTTGGGGCTGGAACTGGATAATTATACTGGGGCTTAGCATAGGCTACGCAGACCCATAATGTTGAAATCTGAGATAACAGAAATGCTACTTATTAGTTTACTGGCTTCTTTTTTTCTTTAAGGATTAACGCAATGAAAATAAACGAACGTCTTTCTGTTAAAGTTTAATTATTGCCTTTCTTTTCCTTCAGCTGTCGTACAAGTAAATTTTTCTCAATTATCGTAATCACGCAATTGTCTTCTTTTCTTAAGAATTTCCATCATTTTATTTCCCTTTTATTTAATTGATCAGCTCTCAGGATATTTGCAGTCAACTTGCGTTTTTTATACGTTTCAGTTATGTTGCTTTTATTTTAACATTATTTGCCTTAATTGGAACAATACATATTGAGGTATAAAGTAGTTTATTACTAAGATGTTTGTATTAAAATAAGTTTGAGCTAAAACATTATGGAAACCAATTGAGGTTTAAACATTGAATAAGATGTTATTTGGAGAATCAATATTGAAGTTGAGACTTTTAATTTGTTGATTTTTTGACAACCAACCAAAAGAAAATTAATTTATCATATTTAACATCAATCGAAATGTGTAAGCATTGCAAAAAGTAAGTAAAGTATATGAAAAACTTACTAATTTTTTGAAATAATTTTTTCCTTGTATTTTACGACGATAAATTCTGTTTTCAAGAGACACATCCGCAAGGTTCTGTTTCATATTTATTAACTAATGAGATCAGCCACATTTATATTAAAAAATGATTCACGGAATAACAGTTCCATATATTATTGAGTCGTTTTCAACTGATTCTTCAAACAAATTTAAGAGAGAAAAGTTAAACCAGTGGGAGCCAAGTCAGCCATGGCCAAAATTTCAGCATTGCATGCATGTTTTTAAGAAATGTATTCAATGTCACAGTAGTACCTAAATTAAATCAAGCGTTTGAAAACTACTGTATAAGTATTCAATTTAGACTGTTTTCTAGTTATTACTACAAAATTATTATCTCCAATTTAGGTTCAACATTTATTTAGTTATTATTACTTAACACCATTTTTCGTAAGTTTACAGTGCTATTATTTTTCCATTTAGAACCGATTTTTAAAATTATCACCACGTAACAATAACTGTCTGCCTGATTGAACAGGCGGTTTCATCATTTACCAATTATTGCAAACTTAAATCTGTGGTACGTGACTATTACGTTTAGTAAAATTTCGTTTTCCCTGCCCATCCAATTTGTCACATCGCTGTTGAAACTAAAGGATGATATTTGACGATGTTCCATGAGAACATGATAATGGTAAAAATTTTCCTGCTGGTAGCTTTTTCTCATAAGAAGCCAAAGTACTTGCAGGCGCTTCAAAGTCTTCACTCACTGATGACATAATTGAGAAAACATCGAATATTTTATCTCGATCTTCTCGTTGTGTTGTTTTATTACCGAATTAGGTGCGCGCCTTGAATAGCCGCATATTAAAAGTTTGTAATCAAGAAAATGTGAAATTTTTACTGCCACTCCTCAGATTATGGAGAAATTTTGGCGATGCCCGAGTAAAGAAAATTTTTAGTTGGATAATCAAAAAATAAAAATTGTGCCTCCTTTTAAATAATTTTTGAAAAAGTAAAATGGATATTCTAATGGAATAGTAAAGATTTTGACTTTTTTATTAAATACCTTGTACATAAACTTCGGCTAAAACGGCATATAAGAAACGACTAGTGTAAGAAATAAAGTGAGTTAGGTATATATTGAAACTGTTACCACAGATATAAATTTTTATTAAATTCAAACTTTTTCTCTTATATTAATGCATGTAATTTTACAAAATGCTCAACTTTCCATTTCTCTTAAAAATTGTTACATCACTCTGCTATAAAGATTCCGAAGACGCACCCACAAAATTTCTCTATTAATAATTCTAAGTTGACAATTTACCATTGGTAACCTTTACTTCTTGCAATAAAAATAATGCTGATTAATTGCGTAGGTCTATGTCTCGATGACCTACAATGATTTGATAATTTTCCAATTTCTCCTCAAATTATTATCAACTTCTTTTCGTAGCTGCGAAAGCTCATATTGAAGATTACACAATTTTTTTTATGTAATCAGTGTGTACATATTGAGCATCAATTCCCAATTAACTATATTTAATCAGTTGTGCGGATAATTTATGACGATAATCAAATGTTTGTTTCTTCGGTGCATACATTATTAAGGTGTAAAAGACACATGCTACATGACATAGATTTCCAAATTCTGTTTTTGCCAATTGGTTAGTTTTACGTGTTTGTTTTCCTATTAAATGTAACGTGCTGTAAGATAAGTATATGCAAATGAAACTTTATAAAGAAATTTATCTTTTTATACTGAAACAAATGCTGATAAAAATTGATTGTGAAACACTTAGGCATTGATAATAACAAAATGAGAATAAAGATGTTGAAATATTGAAAAATAATCAATAGTTGTGTGATATTTAAGTGTAAAAGTGAAATTGTTTTCGACATTAGTTTATTGAAACCAATTGAGAACAATTGCCCAAAAAAAATTTACATTTTTCGGAATGTGTCACTATTTTTCTCTAACTTTCATTTTTTAATTTTGACCGTTATCGAGCGTCAATGAATCGATCATTTTATGACAAAACGTTTATTATCATAAATTCAAAAAGTTATTTAGAAGAGTCAATTTGAAATTTGTTAAATTAATTGCTTTATTTAGAATAGTGTTTTTGTTGTTAGACTTACAATTTGCATATTACAAGGAATTTGCACAAATTTAAATTGTCAAAAATGAAAAAATGGCGAAAAATCTAAATTCGTAAATAACACATTAGTAATTTATTATATGTGCAACTAAAACTGCAATTTTACGTAAGGCTCAATATTGTTTTGACAATATCGCTTACTTAAAATTATTTAAAAGTCTTAGTAAATCTGCTAATTTTATTCTTAATTTATGCAAATTTATTATTGTTCTTGATTGTCTCCAACTACTCTAAATGTTTTTGGTCGTAAATAAAATCTATAAATAACTGGCAAGCATTTATTTTATCAAAAACACTTGAAATTTTACTGTTCTACGTCAAAACGTAAATTAAAATAAGAATATAATAAAAAACAGAGTGAAAATTGCTAAGATAAGTAACAATAAAGTTTAATAAAAGCTATACTGAAAAATACTTTTCGGTTTAGTAATGATAATAAATATTGCTGTTTAATACTTACCAAAAAAACTCTCATCCTGACCCAGAAATACCACTAAATAACACCCTGAAATTTCTGACACTAAAAACCAACTGGTATTTGGTTTATATACGAATTCTTTCTTGTATACTGAAAACCGAAAGAGGGGATTCGCTTCTTCAGTTAGTAGCGATCTTCAATGAGGATCACCCGTACAAATTACCACAGCACGTAACATTTAGACAAAAGTGAAAATTGACAAAAGGTTGCGACCTCTGCCTCTGCAACACACTATAGAGATGTAATAATTGGATAAATATGATAGATTCAGATGGAAGATAAAAATATGTCTGAATGATTTTCCTTTGTGTTATCATCAATGTATTTCCTTCGGCTCGGTCGATGTAATAAGACAGACCATTAGTTTGCTCATTTTTTCCAGTAAGACAACGATTGAAATTCATAATTCTTAGAATGGAGTTATATTTTCAGATTCGATTGGTTTTACTGGGAATGAACGCTCTTGCAGAATGCAAGTTTATTGCAGAAATTTTAGTTATTTCATATATAATATTCAATAATTGATATTGGTTATGATAAATATATTCAAGATGTCTGGAAAAATTTACAGGTTGTGAAAATAACATAACGAATCTATAGCAAAATACTTTTGTTAATTTTCAAGTGTTTTTCTGTTAATTTAAAAGTTTACTTTTCACTTATGTTATTTTGCAAATAGGTTTTAGCATTTTAGCAATAGTGTTCCAAATAACTCTGTTCCCAGGGGAGCATTTGTTGTTTGGTCTCTCGTTCTTTCGACTTAAATTCATTAGATTTTTACCTGTGTTTTTTCATTCAATAGAAGAAATTGCAACTGAGCATTTCGATTTCCAAAAGGTTTCATGGAGAGATAAATCGATTTAAAGTGTATCTTTTTTTATATAGCAACGTATTAAAAAATATGAAAATATTAAACGTATTAAAAAAACAAAAAATTATTTGATAGAAACCGATTTTCAGTGGTTTTTGTAAAAAAACCGACAATTGTAAGCTTTTTTTGCAAATGAACCGATGTTATTTTCCAGCAGGTGTTTTATTATTTAAGAAACTTTTCTTGAAAGCGTTAAATGCCATTAAACTCAATTCACAAATTCACTTATTTTCATAATTATTTTAACTTTGGAAGTAGATTTACTCAGACACCCTGAGGCAAATCAGCACGTTATAAATTATCGTTGTTCAACTGTACTAAGCGTAGTTTATGGAAACCAAAGAGAAATTGTCGTGTTGTTTCAAGGAGTGTTTCCAGTCCCTCTTCGAAGTTAATAATTTAACAAAGAAGCAGGTTCAAATTTTCTGTAACTTGCAAAGTTCTAACGACGTCTGTTAATAAAATTGTTGAAAACTTGTTAGGGAATGGTGAAAATTTTATTTTAAATTAATTTGCAAAAAACAGGCGTTGATAATATTTATTAACAAAAATTTGCGTGTAAAAAATGTTGACATTGTTAGTAGATAATGTAAATACTTAAGTGCACGTTTCGGTGTTAAAGCGTGAAGCGATGTAATAGACGCACCTCTTCAAATGATCATGTCCATCAATCGTCATGCAAAATTATTTTCTGTTGAAAAACTCTTAAAAAACTTACTTTCCACCTGTTCAGCACGACTTGCAGAATTAATAGAAAAGAAAACTGATGCCTTAATGAAACATGCAGATCATAAAAAAGTTGCAAACTCTTTTCGAGTGATCTGAAACCCAGTGACTGAATTAGTCAAGCAATTAATTCGATTCAGTGTAAAAAACTGTTGATGCTGATCAATCATAATTATACTTCCGTCAGTCATAATGCATTCACTGATAATTTGAAATATTTTTTTGGGGGATTAATAATATTTGAACTTTTCTGTAAAGGCGGATATTATGCAACATTCCTAAATGCAACTACTTTATGAATTTAGATATACAACTTACCCAAGTTGATGATGGTAAATAAGGTCAAGTACCTTAAGATTTAATTTATTGGTCGATTATTTTAGAGAAACTTCTCAAATGCCCGCTGCTTAGTAGATGAATATTATAATAATCACATTTCAAATGTTTCACTTCAGAAACCTAAATTAAGGTAAATTAATTAAATTGGCCAACGAGAAATCGATTTAAAACATTTTTACTCACAATTAACTCGTAAACTCTTTTAGTACCGAGAGGATATTAAACGACAATGCATTTTAAGAAAGTTTGATGTTTATGATTTATTAATAAATTCTCTTTCTCGAATAGTTTTAATGCAATTTAGTTTTTTCCAAATTTATTACTAGATTGACGAATACTAGCTACATAGAATGCAATTGCAGGTGTGAATTATTTTGTCATTAATTATAAAATTAACAGCAAATTAGTATTCTCACGCAATGGTAGAAGTTGCTTGCTTTCAGAAAAATCTTCATATGAATGGAATCATTACCATTGTTGATCTACGAATTAGAAAACCCCTATAAAGTATGTAGCAATCAATTACAATAGGTGTCAAAAGGTTACACGCAGGTTTATTTTTCTTATTTCGACATGTAATTTAGGTGTTCATTTCAAATATAAATCAAGTTTAATAGTTTTTATATGCCGGCTGATAAATGTGGGTTAAATAGATGACAAAAAACTATCAAATATGTTCTATGAAATCGATAACTCAAGAAGAGCGAGGCGAGATTGGTTAATTTTAATGATCTCGTTCGTTTGCGAGATATTCTCAAATTTACAAGCTAACAACAAGAAAAAATATTAATATATCATAAAATGGTAAGAACAAATTTAAGAATGGAAGAAAATTTTGTAAAAAGAGCAATTATTTTGTGCAGTGATTCATTTTTTTACAATAATTTGCGGTTTTGTATAAAAGTTTAGTAATTCTTGCATTGCGTAGTTAAATTTTATATTTTTCATATTAATAACCAAGTTATTGTGCACCCAATGTGCTGACAATATTGACAATCCGCATAATATTCGGCCACATTTTCAGATATAAAAAAGAATATAATTTTATTCTTTTATTTATTGACCTCCCTTTGCTTAGGTTATTTTGTTTTCTGGTAATGTTATATATTGTACTTTATTATTTGGTGCCAAAAATTTTATTTTAGAATTTTTTTTACTACACGTTTATATTTGTCCGTAATTTAGTTGGTATATGCCAAATGGAATTTACTATATCTGTAAGTCTGCATATTTGAAAATAATTTTTCGATCAAAAAATTTTGTCAATTATTTAAAATAATTTCTTAAGAAATATTTTTTTGTTTTTTAAATTAAATTAAATAAGTTATGTTAGTTTAATGATGGACCACACATTTCGCGTTTATTTTTACTTGCATATTTGCTTGAAACTTTATAAATTTAAAAATTTAACATATAAATTTTAACAGATTATACCTTATTTAAAAGATTCTAAATTGGAATATTTGGTTATAGTTTATTGGTGTCTGCCCTATAGGTAGCAAATTCAATTGGTTTTATTTAGTTAAAGTGTATTAAACGCAGCTAATTATTAAACATTTTCCATAGTGAAATTTTGCTTTGTGCTTTATAATCAAACTCTAATCGACTGAAAACACATTTTTATTAAAATATATGTGAATTATTTTTGAATTCATTTTAATGTTTAAAAAGCTTTGAAAAATTTGATGACTTTTTATATTTGTACCTAAAACCTCTCTAATTATATTGAATTTTGATTTAATTTAACTCACTTTTAAATTTTTTTAAATTTTGATTTTAATTTTTATCTTTCACATCTGTTAATTATGTTAATAATGTTAATGTTAATGTTGTTATGTCATATGTTAATGCAGACGTTTTATGATTATTAAATATTTGCAGCGCCCGAAAAATATACTAAAGTTTAAAATGCATGTTTTAAAAGTGCGAATGCATTGTGATGGACTTTAAAATGTATGCTACTTTTCATTAGCGGAATTTTTCGTCATATTACTTTTCTATAAAAAAAAAGTAAGACGTTTTCTTATGGTCTCAAAGCCTTTTTGCAAATTAATGTTGTTTCTTTATTAGACATTTTTCTTCCGGTATTTGGAACTGTTAGATTTATGTTAGTATTAAACTGAAATTTTCATGTAAAATGATACTTTTTTTATTTACTTTCCTGACTACGTGTAATTGTTATTATATTATTTTCTTTCCTGGGCTCCAGTCAAAATGTGAAACAAAAATTTGTATATCGTTTATTTCATTACGTTTCGGCTAGACAACAGCGCCATCATCAGATTTTGTAAATCAAATAATTGTAAATTGGTGTTTGTAGTTTATATGAATTTTAAAATCTGATGATGGCGCTGTTGTCTAGCCGAAACGTAAAGAAATTAACGATATACAAATTTTTGTGTCACAATTTGACTGGAGCCCAGAACAGAAAATAATATAATAGTAAAGTAATACACTAATCGGATAAGTAAGATAAATTAAAATTATGTGAGTTTAGGTCCTATTTTTTAAATAAATTAGTAAATGTTTTATTTTTTAATAACTGGTTCCCCTATTTCGCAAATGTATTTACTTACTTATTCAGTAATTCAAAATTTGTGATCTGGTATTATTTAATTCGATTTGAATACATTTCATGATGTGAAGATGCAAAACGCACTTTTGTTTTTTAATTAAATTATGTCTCAATATCGTTTCTTGTCAGAAGAAAACTAAGTAATACAAAGAAACCTAATAATTTGCATACATTTAAATAATTGAGTAAACTCAACCTTTCTTGAAGATTGAGCTCATGCATGTAATGAGTCTTGTTCAGAAATAGTTAATTATTCGAATCTTCCGATTTTGCCATAGGTTTGGTGTTAGCACTGTCATAAAGAAGCAAAACCAACAAAATGGTTTCAACATCGTGTTTTCTATTTAATCACAGTCCAGTGTTTTGCTTGATGAAAGCGTAATAGATATTTGCAGGAAATTTACTGATCTGTGATAAATGGACATCTTGAAATCGCCCAAAGCCTGGTAGGTATTAAATATTACAAGTTATATGGAAATTTGACCTCTTCGATTCGGCAAATGTTTCCTATAGACTTTTATGGACATTCAATGAGAATAATAGAATTTGCATTAGCACTGCCTACCGCTTGCTCAATTCGATACAAACACCAGCCAATACAATTGCGTGAACTGATAGGAAAAACGAGGTTTTTTCCGTTACGGATAAAATCTCCATTAATAAAATATTTAGATATATTCATGTCTTAAAAGTAATTTCTATTGTGAAAGCTATTTTTACGAGCCTGCTTTATTTCATTTTTTCCATTTTTAATGTAACTGATGGGGTGTGTGGGATTGTCGCATTTAATGAAATAAGCATAATGTGCTGATCATTTGCAACACTTGTTTTGTAATGGCTTGTATTTATGTTTGCTGCTTTTGGTTCTCATTGAGACTTGGAGCTCTGCTGTCGGCAATTATCTCAGCCGTAAGTACCGAGCTTTAAAAACTCTATTCTATTAGTTTAGTGGTTTTCAGAAAAATCAATTAATAGTAACATTAGCCTCAATTGTTCATGTTTGATTATCGTTTGCTAGTGCGTTAGAAGATTACTTAATGTTAATGCAACACTGTATCTAGGTTTTGTTGATTTTTCCGAAATTGAGTACACAAACAATTACAATCTTCACTGAAGCATCTTATGTAGTACTACAATGATGACCTTGTCAATTCCCAAGAACGGCAAATTTCTGTGTCAATGCGGGCATGAGAAAAAAGTGAAATTGCTAATTTGGTAATGTAGTTATTCGTCAAAGAAGTAGCGATAGAATCGCTATAAAGTTTACGAACTGAAGATGAATATGAACCAAATGTTTTTGAACACTTAAAAATGTAGAGTAAAGAACAATACGAAAAAAGAAATTTAATGAACACACAAATGCCAATAAAAATTCGCATTGGAAATTTTCCAGAAATTATTTAAAATCAAAAAAATATGTTGCTTTCTATGGATTTTCACTTTTCAGTATTTTTTATCCAAACTTTTACAACATTCAAGTTATTACATCTATTATTTCAAGCAATGTCCCCGTTCCTTCAATCACTTACACCCAAATTTTAGTAGACAATAACTTTTAATCAATCTTAACATTTGTTGCAGTTGAAGGCTATTTGCCTTTTAATTGTGTTACTTCAAGAGGAGGTGGCGGTTCTTATGAATAATGTTGAAAATTTTCTTCTCGGCATAGATTTTAATAAATTCGTTGTTAAATTGGTGGCTCAAGGTAAGGTGGTTTTTCGCATCAATCAAACTCCAACTTTGCCCTGTAAAACCTGTTGCAGATTTTAAAATACTGTTCGTGATTTTAACAAGTTATCTTGGAATTTACTGCTTGGCCAGTGTTCTGTTGGGAGTTGGAGCTTTGCAGGTGTGTTGGTTGATATGAATTAAACGCTTATTTTACCAATCTAATTTCTTTTTATGTACTCATTTTTATTATCTAAATTTTTAAATTAAGTTCCCGTTTTCTTCATTCCGCTTACCAGTTATTCTTCCGTTCATTCATCTACTGAACTTAAGGCTATAAAATGTGTTTCAGTGCAATACGATGTTATGCTACCCATTCATAGTCTCTCACATACTAATGATGTTACTTGACCTGTTGATCTACACAGTCCTTTTTAAATACCTCATGCTTCTAGCTTTCGTACCCATTGATGAACATCACTCTTATAACATTGGTCTAGCCGAGGCTATTGTTTATTTGACTTTGGGAATATTTTATGTGTGTAAGTATCGATTAATAATTGCTAGAATGGATTTTTGAGAATTTCGTTTTAGTCTATGACATTTATTTGGAAGTTTGCGTCTGCAGTTTTGTTGATGCAGTAAAAGACTTGAGGAAGAAAGTTATACGGAAATCTTTACAGCCGGCTTTACCGATCGTCATTGTTAAGAGAGATAAACATGGACTTGCACCGATAATCAAATTTGACTCGTCGACAGTCAGGAAGACACAATTTTAATACAAAAAATTAAACAAAGGGATGAAAATATACGATTTTTGTTTTTTTTGCCACTGAGCAAATTTTGAAACTACATAGTTTCATAAGACAAATAAAACATCAATAAGAAAACAATAAATTTATTCAAGTTTATTGCAGCTTTATATATATAATGACTGAGTACTACTAACTCAATCAAGACTTTTTAGAAGACTGAGTATCATTTTTGAGTATGATTTGATGCAATAAACGTGTTTATCTTGATCAGACAAATAAGCTAGTCTACTGTAGGAAGAAGTTTGAATAATCCGGCTCCGTCATCCTTTGGAACTTATCTTCAATTGGGTTGTACCTGAAGATTCGCCTGAAAAAAAGAAATAATTTTTTATTAATTCATATGTTAATTATGTAATAAATAATTTAGGATGGACTGTATTGTGAACGAAAGTGATATAACTGAAGCATCAGTCAGGTTTACTAACATTTGCCTTAAAGACATGATTTTAAAATTATTGGTACTCTACTTCTATTGAAACATCAGCTCAGTCACAAAATACTATTAGTGAAAAACTTATTGAAATGAATCAAAAATAATGTTGATCCTGAATATTACTGATTTTTAATTCAGAAAGCTTTCAGTCGCCATAACTTCGCTTTGAAAATTAAGATTTTTTTACTTATTGAATCGTATAAAAAATAGTAGATTAAGTGGTTAAATCAATTGGGCTTTCCAGAATTGTAAAACAAATATTCAATTAGTCTCTAAACCCAATTAAAATTTGCGTTTAGATGTGATTCTGAGGCAACAAAACCAATTCGCTTTCATTACAACAAAATAACCAAAACATTTAAGATAATTTCTATAAGTAACAATTTGCAAAAAATATTTATTTTGCTTACTGAAAAGGACTTATTTTGTGATTGCCATTTTCTTCTCTGCTACCGTCAGATTGAATACGGAATGCTCTGGAAATTTCGTTGATGTTGAAGTCCTTTGCTGCATCAGGGGACATTTCGTCATCACTGCTCCAAGAATAATAAACAATTATTAAATAAATAAAATCAATCCGTCAAGCAAATAATTTAAATTTATTAGTTACCTAAGTTGGGCAAACTCCCAGGGTTTTGCTCGTTTTCCCACACATCCTTCAGCCATCGGTGGACAGCTTCTTCCAAATCTTCCACCTAACAATAAAGAGCTGGTCTGGCGTTCTTCGGACCAGGCAAAGAAAATTACATTACATAGACGAAGTGAATGGATATTTATAATATCTTGACACTAGATTAAAGGCAAGAAGGGTGCTGCATTTTTCATTATAATTATTACTTTACTACACCTTAGCCAGTAATATAGGCCAGAAAGAATCGTTTTATGCAGCTGAATTGAAAGCAGTAAAACATATGTTGTAATTGGATTAAATATCAATGTTATCAACTTTGATTAACAAGTAAATGAACTAACCAATGTTGTATTATTGTCTTTATTGATCATTAATCAAAAATTTACATTATCACCCAATAGTGAAATTTCCAAGAAATTTCTGATTCACGTTTGCTTTAGGCACGGCTATTATTTTTCGAATCCAAAATTCCGCTGCCTCCAATGCCATTCGTAGATTATTCTGTCAGAATACCACCACCGCCAATGTTATCAACATTCCTGTATCCAAAAAATCCTCCATCAAATAGACCTCTTGAATCTAAAATTCCACCGCCACCAATATCATCCATGTCTCTAGCCTCTAGAATGCCACCATCTCCAATATCGTCTATAGATCTCAGAATACCACCACCACCGATATCATCCATTGATCTGGATTCAAGAATGCCGCCACCCCCAATGCCGTCCATTGATCTTGCTCCTAGAATACCACCACCCCCAATGCCGTCCATTGATCGTGCTCCTAGAATACCACCGCCTCCAATGCCGTCCATTGATCTTGCTCCAAGAATTCCGCCACCTCCAATACCGTCCATAGATCTGGCCTCTAAAATGCCTCCTCCTCCAATACCATCCATTGACCGCGCGCTGAGAATTCCTCCGCCCCCAATATCATCAATAGATCGAAGAAGACCTCCTCCTCTAATACTGTCCAAACCTCTTGCAGACAGAATGCCACCACCTCCGATGGAATCCAGTCTTCTTCTAGAGGCTAAAGGATTTCTGCCGTAATAGTGCAGAGCTCTAGAGCTCAGAATGCCACCACCTCCAATGGTGTCGAGAGATCTGGCTAAGTTGCCTTTATAATTGTGTAAGGTGTTAAGTCGATAACCTGAAAAATGAGGGATGTTTTTATTGAAATACTTTACATAGATAGATTCATACTTACAAAATTCGTGTGTAACAATAAGCTGTGAAACATAGAACAGACGCAACAAACATTGTTTTGTAGAGTGGTGTAAAGCTGTGAGTAGCAACAATCACTTTTTTATACACCCAACAGTATCTTGGCACAGTTTACAAAGCGATACTCTTCACAGGCAGTTGGAGTAGATTTAGAATGGGACCAAGGGGTACTACTGATTATGAAAATTGTCTATTTTCTTACACACTTCGCAAGTTGCTTGTTCATCGTACCCGAAGGTTCACGTTTGTGATTCTGTGTAGAGAATGAATAGTAGTTTTGCTGGGTGAAATATGGATCCAAAAGTTTCATTACAAAAATATAGCGAGTTTTAACAAAAATTAAGTCATATTTTCAATCCAGATGACGATGATTCCGCGATAGCCAGTGGAAAATAGCGCATGTCTGCAGAAAAATTTACTTCTGGGCTTTCTCAGAAAAGCGGGTTAAACAATCGTTTTAACTATTTCTAAGAAACGGGTTTTTATTTTTTAATCAAATTCTGCGCGTTGCATAAAGAAGCAAAAGAAACTCTCGGCATCGTTAAAATGAAAATATTTTTTATATAAAGGTGAAGCCCATATAAGCAGCATTTTTTCAAAAAATAATTAAGCAAATTGAAAAGAAATTGCATTAAGTAACAATTGAGCAATCTCGTCAGTTATTTTTACTCGCAAGACCTCAAGATATGTTACCAATTGAACGTATTTGGCACTAAATTTAAACTAGAATAATGCCTAATTTATTAATCAAATTTCAGGAAAGTCATTAAAAATTTTAAGACATAAATGTGTATTGCACTATGACAAAGGAACTTTTAACTAGCACCTAGAACAAAACATTCTATAACCGATTTTTGTGTGATGAAAAAACAAAATATTTATTTACTATTAATATTCAGCTTTAAACGCACAAAGAAACTACGTGAAAATTTGATCAAATAAAATAATAGTATACCATTGCTTACGTATGAAAAATGAGGTCAAAAATAGTTAAATCTGAATTAAAAACTATTGAAATCATCAATATCAGATATAAATACTAATTTATATTTATTTATCCGGGCATTAACGTTCAAAAACTGGATAAAACTAAATTAAAAAGTTTACAAAAACGACATTTGTAATCAATACAGACATATAAGCGTTCTCATAAGCACTACACTTTACAACGTATCTTGCAAATAAACAAACATAAATATGGAAATAAAAGAATAAAAAGCTTAAGACTTCGTAATTTCAACATCATTTGGTAATAAAATAATTTATAATTTTTTGACACATTTGACGATTTCAAGCAAAGGTAGTAGCACTCACATACTTAGTACGAAAGTTAAAAACTTTAATTTCCGTTTGAAGTTCTTGGATTAAGTGTAATAAATCACAACATTAACATTTATCTTTACATTGCAAAATTGATTAAATGGCAGGCGTATCGTAATTTGTAGATTGACCTTAACATCGATTGTTAATTTTTTAATTCCAATACTTACTTGGGCTTTTCATGGGTTCCACATTCTTGATTTTGTACTGGTACAACTGAAACAAACAAATCATTGAAAATTGGCACAATTTCTACTCGCAAAACGCCAGTGTCGCTATGGATTTTCTGAGAAACCTGTATAAAAACCCTGCCATTTTTTTCTGAAGGTATAATTTGCCCAATTTTTTCTTCTAAAATAAGATAATTAGGCAACAGACATCGTGATGGTTTAATGCAAGGTAAATTTGCGATGACAATTAACCCTAATTAGTTAATTAATTTCACATTGAAACTTAACCTGGATTTTGAAGATTTGATGGCCTATATCTAGAGTCGCCGTAACACAATTAATTACAGTAAAAAATTCGTCCTTACTTCATGCAATTCTTCATGAATATATTAATCATGGTAACTATTGTTTGGGTTATTCGCTTAAACGCTAAATGGTTGTTTTTAATAATAATTCAGTTTTAATTTAATAATAATAAATTGTACGTACTTTCCTGACTGTGTTTCAATTCCAAAATTAAAATCAAATCCTGGGTTCTTCAGTCATTTATTGTTCATTTATCAATTTAAAAAAACGTTTCGGTGTTTTCCACCATCATCAGTTTTACTAAAATAACAGGTAGTAAGAAAAAAAAATTTTAAATGTTCTCATTAATCTAAAAAACAATAACAGTTTGTCAATAGCTTGTTATATCACACACTAAAATACATTACAATTGCAACACTTTAAAATATTCTGAGATTAATTGGTCTTAACAGGTGATCAGCTAGGACAATCAATTCTGGGAAGAGACTAGAATTCTTTGTTGTGACCAATTAATCTCAGAATATTTTAAAGTGTTGCAATTGTAATGTATTTTAGTGTGTGATATAACAAGCTATTGACAAACTGTTATTGTTTTTTAGATTAATGAGAACATTTAAAAAAATTTTTTCTTACTACCTGTTATTTTAGTAAAACTGATGATGGTGGAAAACACCGAAACGTTTTTTTAAATTGATAAATGAACAATAAATGACTGAAGAACCCAGGATTTGATTTTAATTTTGGAATAATAATAAATTGGACTGTTTTTCTCAATCTCCACAATTTTCTTTAAAATTTTAGTGACACATTGGAATGACACGTTGGAATTTAAGTGATAAACTATGGAATTTGTTTGTTTTCAAATGTCACCTTAAAAAACAATGTTAACTAAAACAAAACTTTTCAATATCTTTTTCTGTCTAAGATTATTCGAGAATATATCCATATGGAATACACTAATAAACAATTAGAATAAATCTGAGTAAGGAAGTGATGAAGGGAAAAAATATAACTTTTAATAGGCTTTAGGACCAACTCATCTAAATAATAAATGCTGAATTTTTCTTAACGAAAAATGATCATAGCTTTTAGGGTATGCGCTGCTGCAAGAGAATTTATTTTTTATACAAACTTTAAATTTTTGAATAACACATTTGCTTTTAATGGCTTGATTTTCACTATGTTATTCACTGATTCGGATCAGAAGAGATTATCTGTTAATATCAACAAACTTGGTAAATCAACAAGTAATTGAGTGAAAACCCAATTGGATTGAAATAACATATCGAAAAACTAATCAAATAATGGAAACAAATTTAAATTTCAATGAGATAATTTGACTATTGCTGTTAGGTATCAAAGTTTTAAACTTTGTAATTTGCCATTAGATTGGACGTTTTTTCTAGAGTTTAAAACTAGAGATACTTTAATAAAGGTGCAAATGTTTAGGACAGTTTTGTGCAAAAATCCATCCGCAGAGTTTTGCTAAGAAAATGGTTTCTTGCCTGCTGGAATTTTGCAGATTGAAAAATTTTAGGTTTTAAATAAGCGATAAAGTCTTGCTGCTAAAAAATCCTATAAGATAAACATTAAATAATAAAGTGGTTCACATGAAAGTAAAATTCAACATCCAACATAATTCAACTTTGTAGAGAAATACAACACATTTCCTTTAATAAATCTAATTGATCCAAAACGAAATCTGAATTTCAGCAAAATGATTCGCCCCACGCAATTTACAAATAGTCCTTTGGGCAAGTAACAATAACACCAACTTAAATAATTGAATTCGATTGTAAATTATATTGAAGCAAAATACGAATTTTATTATTTTTGAATATTTTGTTTTCAAATTGATTATATTCCGGTTATTCAGTTAATAAACATTCTTTTCATTGGTTTTGGGTTTATTTTAAAGCTTTTGATCATATCAGCAAATAATATAAATCTGAAAAGTTCATGTACCGAATCTATTATTTCACATGCGCCCGAATGTGGTAAAATTGAGTTATTAGCTGGATAATATAGTCGAACAAGTACATTTTTCCGTGTATTGATATCAGTATAATTAAATTTCTACTTCCGTTCTTAGATTTGTATCTAAGAACGGATAAAACGAACCGTCCGATTTATTCTCTCAATTCTACCTCGCATTCACTATAAGCTCTCAAAAAAAAACTACCACTCTACCAGGTATTTTAAACAATTCAAAAGGCCTTTGATAGCATGAAATAAAGTTTCGCATTCCACTTTTGGGATATACCTATCTTTTTCGTGAAAAGGTAATTTGAAAAGTAAATGCAATCACAACTAACAAATGGGAAACAGTTCCCCATTATATTAACAATTAAAAAGCAGCTGGCCACTGCTACCTAGAAAAAGCGGAGCGTTATGAATACTACTTTTTATAATGAACGTTGCATGTTGGTTTTGGATTGAATTATTAACATTGAAAAAGGTATTAAAATTTTCATTTTCCGTTCTCAAATGTGTCAGCTAAAATTATTTTTTAAATGTCAGGCAGTGGGTGCAGAACTTAGATACAAAAATTGCATAAACTTGAGACAAAACTTCCCACTTTAATAGAAAGAAAGGAATATAGTTTTGCTTTTTATTATTTATTAATTTTGTTTGTTAAAAATGCACGCGCCTGTATTAACTTACGGGGCTACAACTAATTATCTTAAGAATAGAAATCGAGGAAAAAGCAAAATTTGACTATTCAGTACCCTCAATTCTATTCAAATTTATTTATTGCAAAAAATATTGTAACAAGATACACATACAGAGGAAAAATTGTATGTTTTTACTAATTCGTAATGTTACGAACGTTAACACTAACTACTCAGATACTTCCAATTCAGTTTCATAACATTAAAGGAAATCTTTGATTAGTCGTTCTTTCAAGGTTTTGATTAAAATTGTTTGGTAAGCGTGTGGCATTAGATAATCAAAGTAATGAGTTCATAAAGATATAAATCAGGTAAATGCTAAGGCAATATTACTGATAACTAATTTAACAATTTTTTAAACTTTTTTATTTAGCACATTTTCAACCTTGCTTCGTCAGCTGTTCATTGTCATCATTTTGCAAACTCCTTTTAAAGCTTTTCTTGATTAAAATCGTGTCAGCAAATTATATAAACGACAGTTACGAATCATTTACATCACTTTATTTTCAATTAATGCGGTTTTGAAGCCAAGTTTTTGAACATTGTCTTTTGCAGGTATAATGAAACTGCTTATAAATCCTCCTTTAGATATTTTCACTTTAAAATAATTATTGGTTTTAATGTTGCAGGTTTGCGATGAATACCCATTGCTTATAATATTATTATTAATATTTTTAGGAATTGTTCACTGGCGTTGCTCATGGAAACCCCATTAAAACTATTAAGAAACATCCAGATTTGCAGAGATTTTGCCTCAAGTTTCCTCAAGTTCAATCCCCGTGGTTAATTTATTTTTAGTTTTAATCATCTTATTCGTTGATAAGGTTATTGGAAAAAATGTATCTTATTATACTTAATATGTTTTGTTAAGCTATTTTGTAAATTATCCGCCCTTTTTGTCCAAACATGTTCAGCTCCAGATTATACTTTTTTTTATAAATTTTTGTTATAGGGTAAAAATGATTAAAGGAAGATAAGTAGACTTCGGGACTGAAATTTTATTTCGCTCTTTTTTTCTAGATTGGACATAAATAAATAGTGGAACCGGAATAAATTACATACAATACTTGCCAACTTTTTTTTTCCTAGAAAGTGCAAACAACGGGATTATTATAAAGATAAGAAGCCTCAGGAAGTACCAGAAATCCATAACTCTATTTTTTTTTCAACTAGACAACACGGAAAATAGTATTGCAATAAACCGCATATTCCACTGATATGAATAATAAAAACCTTGCATAAAAAATCTAGTTAATTTTGTCGTTTTACTTATAAACTGTACGCTTGCTGGAGAATGAAACTAGCCAGACAGATTTTATCGGCTGTAGAGGTTGCCTGTAAGAGTATAGAGGATATGGAAATGTTTTGAGGTGTTTAGGAAATTGACTCAGAAGCGATGTTTACAAATTAGCTCAATTAATTTGGGTTCAAAATTACATTTTAAATGTCAGCGTCTTAAGATGAAAATTTCAAATAGTTCAGTAACATTACATCAGAAATTTTTATTGCTTCTTCTTGTATATTACAATCACTTTGCTGCTGATTGCACATAACTTAAAAAATTCAATAATTGTTTACGTCATTTAGTTTTAAATTGCCAAACAACTATATTGGTTGTCATTCTATCCTTCAAGATTATATCATTTCTTTGTGTTATCTCCCTAAAACAAGCAACAAAATTTTAGCAGCTTCTAACATCATATTTTTAATAATTTTTTTAACTTATTAATTTATTGTAAAATTCGACAATCATAGTTAAGCAAAATAACTGTTTACTGGTTCCTAAATTGAACCCATTTTCGCATGGAAATTTATAAAGATACGCTCTTATCATTGAGATTTTTTTTACAAAATAGACAAAACATTTATAAGTAATGTCATTCAGAACTGAGTTAGGCTTTATATGTTCGTCGCGTTTCAGTGCAAATCAACTTTTTATATACATTAAAATATATATTTTTTGATTGTTTTGGTTGTTTTTTGCTTCTTTCTCCATGGTACTTGCTTTTGATCTAAAGAAAATACTTTAGAAAATAAATTTCTGGCTATTAAAAACTGAAAGCGTATT